TCTCCATCCATACCTCTCCAACTCCCCCGCACCCGGGAGGGCAGGTGGCAGCCCGGCCAGCCCCGCTCACAGCACCTGGCATCCCTGCCACCTCCTCCCCGAGCAGGGAGTGGAGATGGGGAGCCGTGGCCTCGGCCGCCCCACACCTACATGGCACCTCCTGCCTGGCAGCTAGCCAGCTGCGGGGTGCTCTTTGCCCGCTTGGTGCTGAGGCCTGGCACAAATGCGAGTGCTGTCTGAGGAAATCCCCATCCCTGCTGAAATTTTCACCACCCAGAAGAGAAATCCCGGTGAAAACTCCCCAGCCACAGCACCAGACAGTGGGGAATCGGATGCCAGCGCCTGGCCATCCCCAGCCCACATCCTGCTGCTCACATCCCTCACCCTTCATCACGCATCCCGCTAGCCGCGTCCTGCAGCCTTCCTTCTGCATCCTGCAATCTGCACCCTGCGCCCGTCAACCTTCGTGCTGCATCCTTCATCCCGCATCCTTCCTCCTGCAGCCTTCGTTCGGCATCCTGCAACCTGCACCCCACATCCTGCAGCCTTCATTCTGCATCCCGCACTCTGCAGCCTTCATCCTGAACCCATCCAGCACCTCTCATCCTACAGCCTGCATCCCAGACCTTTCATCCCATAAATGCAGCCTGCATCCCACATCTCACAGCTTGCATCCCGCAGCCTCCACCCTGCTTCCCCCCCCTTGGCCTGCAGACCCTAGCCACGGCGCAGTTTATTTCGCTCCGCCTTGCAGCACCAGTCACGGAGGACCTGTTGGGCTCTGAATCCTGATATACATGTGGGATGTCCCAGGTGCCCTTCCCTGTGGTGGGCACATCATCTGTGGGACACTGCGAGGGTTGGGTGGTGGATTTGGCTGGATCAGTGGGCCAAGGTCAATCGTATGAGGTTCAACAAGGCCAAGTGCTTGGCCCTGCGCTTGGGTCACAACAACCCCACGCAACGCTGCAGGCTTGGGGAGGAGTGGCTGGAAAGCTGCCCGGCGGAAAAGGACCTGGGGGTGCTGGTCGACAGCTGCTGAACATGAACCAGCAGTGTGCCCAGGTGGCCAAGAAGGCCAACGACATCCTGGCTTGTGTCAGGAATGGTGTGGCCAGCAGCAGCAGGGAGGTGATCGTGCTCCTATATTCGGCACTGGTGAGGCTGCACCTCGAGTGCTGTGTTCAGTTTTGGGCCCCTCACTACCAGAAGGACATTGAGGTGCTGGAGCGTGTCCAGAGACGGGCAGTGAGGCTGGTGAGGGGTCTGGAGAACAAGTCTGATGAGGAGCAGCTGAGGGAACTGGGTTTGTTCAGTCTGGAGCAGAGGAGGCTGAGGGGGGCCCTTACTGCTCCCTACAACTACCTGAAAGGAGGTTGTAGTGAGGTGTTAACTAGCGATAGGATAAGAGGAAATGGCCTGAAGTTGTGTCAGGGGAGGTTTAGATTGGATGTTAGGAAAGATTTCTTTACTGAAAGAGTGGTCAGACGTTGGAACGGGCTGCCCAGGGAAGTGGTGGAGTCCCCATCCCTGGAGGTGTTCAAAAAACATGTAGATATGGCACTTTAAGATATGATTTAGCAGGCGTGATGGTGATGGGTTGATGGTTGGACTTGATGATCTTAGAGGTATTTTCCAGCCTTAATGATTCTATTATTCTATGATTTGTGCCTGACCTCGTGACAGCTAGAGTTTGGGGGGCATGTCTTCTGCTCACTGCCCTGCTGGGATGGGGGAAGAGAGAAGGAAGGGACAAGGGGACGCATGGACCATGGCCACACAGCCTGCACAAGCTGGAGACTTCCTGCCCTTTTCCTGCTCCCTTTCCCCTGCTCCTGCCTCCTTTTCCTGGGGCTGCAGAGCTGGGGAAGCGTGCTGGGGGGCTGTGGGGGACTGGGGCAGAAGGACCCCATGCCCCAGTGTGCAGTGCTGGGAGAGCCAGTGCCAGCCCTGCTGGCAGCGATGTTGCAGGCTTCGCATCCCTGCACCCGTGAGTCAGTGCCTGTGAGTCAAGGAAGCCGAGCCCGGTGGCAGACCCACTTTCCCGGGCTTTGCTGTGCCAAAAGAGAAAGCCACTTTCTCCAGTCATCCCAGGCCTTTCTCTTCCCTGCTCTGCCAGCACCCGTGGCTGGCTGTGCCTGCTCCCATGGCTCTCCATGCTTTCCAGAGGACCCATCTCGCTCATCCCACCTGCAGCATTCAGATGGCTGCAAGGATCTCTCTGTGCTTGGGAAAAGCCCCTGGGTTAAAACTAAAGGGCACCTCTCCGATGGGACGGGCACCCAGCCAGTCCCTGCCTTTGTTCCCTGTCCCAGACTCAGGGCAGCCCATGC